CCCTGACTGACTTTCTGAGAATTATAATATTTATCTATTTCAACATCTCATTTAGATACTTGTTGACGCCATAGTAATATTTTAGATTAGAAGATGTTTCAATTTATTGACATATGTTAAATACATATATTTATTGGGATCGGGGCCTTACTCGAATAAACTAATGTAATAGACTTAATATTATATCTTTGAGTTGGATTAGTTCAAAATGGGATAGAGAAATTAAACAGCTTGCCGTTAGCAGGACACAAATTTCAATCCCATCGGGGTTATTTCGAAACTATAAACTCAAACTGCCAACTTGTGCAGTTTCGACCCTCGAGTATGATGGATAAATAGAGAAGTTACACTGGCAATCTCCACTGACATATTATATTACCGAATGTGTATTCAAACTAGTAACACAGGAAATTAATCTACTGATACTTATTGAATTTTAAAACTAATTAATTAGAACCTGCGATTGACATGTAAAAGTTAATTTTTATTTGGATTTCGATCATTCTAGTTTTTGGGTACTTTCAATTTCTTATACTTATCTACATATATATCTATATATCTACCTATATACATTATAATAAAACCCAAATTCCCTTTGTAGTTGTCTTGCTTATAATACGTGAACAACTAGTTTGATTCAGATAATAATTTCTATGATATTAGAAGATAAAAGAAAATTTTAAAACATTGTAGTAAAGCGAACAAATATTAAAAATAATAATATTTAGAACAATTGAGAAATATTAGCAATGGGTAAATGTTAGCAGCAGAACATTATTGGACGTGGTCCTATAGGGCCAATGTTTCATCCGAGTTTGCGGGTTAACCTGTCGTCTGCTTTTTTTTTTGTGAGGGGAAAATCATCAAATGACTTCTCGCGCCCAGAGCCGGGCGGGAGGGAGTGTCAGACTCTTACTGACTAAAAACCCCCCTGTTCCTTCTCCTGCTCTGGGCCGAGGTCCCGGTGCCTCATTGCGCTTACCCCGCAACCCCGGCTGTACATAAGCCCTATAGGGCCCCGTCTGTGGTGGTATATTGGCCCTTTGGGGCGCGCGCGGAACGCTACGCGCCGTACGCTCGGGTCTGGTTCTGGTCGGGCGGCGAGCTACCCTTACTCAGCGTCCGCAGACCCGCGCTTACGGTGGCCGGAGATCATCTCTAGATCTCCGACACCCGGAATGTCGCCTACTGCGGCGGCTGGGGCGCGAGGAGGATAGTTCCCTCACGCGCTCCACCTCCTCCTTTGCGAGCATCACTGCTTCACAGAAGGGGGAGACGGCGTCCCAGTTCCTCTCGCTCCGCACTATGGCCTCGACTAAGACGAAAGAAGTCATTTGATGATTTTCTCCTCCCAAAAGTAGACAGTACGAACATTACAGATAAACAAAAGCTGCATGCTAAACATGTTGCAATTTCACCAAAAACTATCAGGATAATAATATACCTAAGTAGAGAAAACGGAAAACACGTTGCATAAGTTATGTGGCGATTCGATTTCACATAACATTTTATTTATGAGTCGCGTGGACCGTCTGCCTAGTAAAATAGTGTGGGAGAAACATGCTTCGGCACAATCTCGGCGTGAAACAAAGCTCGCGTTGTGTTACGTCGTGAGATTGAAGTTACTTGACGCCCAGTCTTCCGTTCTTCCATTCCTAACAACCCAAAAAGGCCGGCAACTACTTGGTAACTCCTTTTTTGTTGCTGGTGTCTATGGGCGGCACCGATTGCTTACCACCCGGTGATGTCTTAGTTTTTTTTTTCATTTGTGAGGGAGAAATCATCAATTGACTTCTCCCGCCCAAGGCCGGGCGAAAGGTAGTGTCAGACTCTTACTGACTAAGACCCCCCTGTTCCTTCTCCTGCTCTGGGCCGAGGTCGCGGTGCCTCATTGCGCTTACCCCGCAACCCCGGCTGAACATCAGCTCTATAGGGCCCCAAATGTGGTGGCGCATCTATCTTAGTTTGCCGATTAAAAATAGTCAATTAAGCTCAAAGTCAAAGTTAATAATCCCCACTAAACCGTATGGAGGTACTTTTAAAACGTCCAAATAGTCTGTCAATCTGTTCAATATTGAAGCGTTCCATAATGTAGATTCGAATGAAGAAGTATAGATGCGAGCAAAAAACTGGATAGTTACTCTTTAAAAAAAATATTATACGTTTTATAAGTTCACCACACATGATTGTACCAAAATATTTCTTTATTAAGCATAAAACCTTTTTCATAATATATGACCAAAAATAGTCCTATAACTAACAGATAATTTGGTGTACCAATTATCTAAAATAATTGAAAATTAATCAGACATAGTAAACTATAACACGGCTCTTGGCACTTTATCTGCACGATTATTGTTGACGCAATGGCAGGACGACAAGCGTTTTGTTCCGCCTGCCTGCGCCAAATCTGGAACGCGAAACTAAACTCGTGTAATACCGTCGCTTCAGTCACTTTTCTTTGAAAATACATAGGGCCTTGGAAAGACAGAAGTAGATCTATCATAGCAATAACGATTTAGAGTCGTCGTGGTGGCCCAGAGGTTAAGGAGCCCGCTTCTCATGCATGAGGGTGTGGGTTCGAAACCTGGCAAGTACCAATGTGACTTTCTCCGAGTTATATGTACTTTCTATGATTATTTAGACACCACTGACATACGGTGAAGGTAAACATCGTGAGGAAACCCGGACTTATAATTTCTAATTATAAGTTTGAAATCGCCAACCCGCATTGAGCAAGCGTGGTGATCAATGCTCTAACCTTCTCCGTGTGAGAAGAGGCCTTTGCTCAGTAGTGGGCACAAACTTTTCTAATGTAGTATATCTATGAAATAGATCATCCAGACAGGAAGTTGACGTATCTTGGCTGACGACGCCTATGAGTAACTACGGGCGTAAATATATTTAGATGGATTTTTTTCTTTATAATATAAATTAAAACTATATCAGAAATATACAATGGGTGGTCCTATTTTTTTCTTTAAACTTTGGATGGACAGGAACTGTCAACGGATTTGACAAAGTAGTAAGCTTCAGGTTTATTAGAAAACAAATATCTTACACTCGGTTTCCGAAAGGCCGATCAATGTTAAAATCAATTTAACCTCTTGTTAAGTCTTGTGAGTGAATTATCAACAACCAATCAGATGACTTGACAAGAGATTTGATACCTAGTTAGTTGATTTTAACATTGATCGGGCTTTCGGAAACCGGGCATTAATCCTACTAATATTATAAACGCGAAAGTTGCTAAGTGGGAAGGATAGATGTATGTTTGTTATTCTTTTAGTAAAAACTACTGAAAAGATAGGAATGATATTTGTTACAATTGAAGGTTGTGTTGTTTGTAAGTATTCGAAATATACTTTCGAATAACATAAAGCAGCCTCGGCCTTGAGCAGGAGAAGAGACGGAGTGGTTTTTAGTCTCCCTCGCCCCGCTCAGGGCGCTAGAAGTTATTAGATGCCCCCTTAAAAAAAGTTCCTCATTGCCCCAACCAGTGAGTTCTCAATATTGTAACGGATTTTTGAAGTAGATTGGATTAATCGTTTGTGAAAGTTGCTCTAAGATGCCATTAAATTGCAAACATTAAGATAGTAAATGTCAACTTTTAACCGGAAAAAATTAAAACATTTATGTTTTTTATGTGATAGGTCGGCAAAAGAGCAGACGGATTACCTGATGGTTAGCAATCACCACCGCCAGAGAAGTTACGAATAAGTTGCCGGCCTTTTGGGGATTAGGGTTTCGGAGATTTAGGTATTGGGAATGGATGGAGGGTAAGGATTAGGGTCCCGGCAACCAAATTCACGCGGCAAAACACAACGCTGTGGTAGTTGGACACCGGGTTTCAGTTAGGCCGTGATATCACTCCGGTCGAGCCGACCCACTTGTGCCGAAGCTCAACTTAAATTTATAGAATATCCTCATTCGATATTTAAATGAACGAAACACAATGGAACTCGTTTTATTAAAATAAATAATTACCAAAGTATTTAGTTACCAGCCAGTATTAGAAACAGCTTTAAAAATATCAAGAGTTGATTGAACTTTAGGAAGCAAATGATTTTAAAATTAGTATTAAATGTGCGAATAAATAAATAGGTACATCTTATCGATATTCAACATTTGACCGTAAGGGTCAATTTCGCATGGACTTGCTTAGTTTTTCAGCTTGCATCTCGAATTCAATCTATTCTATCAATTTTGAATATTTTCATTGAAAATGTCATTTAAAGTATCTGATCAGTTATTACCACATACTTCGTTTTTGCCAGTTACAAGTTCAGACTTTTGTATCTATGTACATATTTAATTGTTTAACATAGATAAAGCAATCTAACCGAATCAATGGTATTGTAAATTAATGACTGTTAAGTACATGGCATCAATATAATATTAGGAATTGCATAAACGATGCAATTGACAACAATATTTAAAGTTAACACAAAACCAACCTTAGCTTGTATGTATTTACAGACATTTTCATAAAACAAATGAACAAGTTTAAAATTTTCCCCCCTTAATATTTTCCCAAAAAATAGGGAGTTTATAAAGGTTTCCCCGACATCAAAAAAGGTTGGTACCAACTCTTTGGTAGTCAAAATAATGCTTCCAACATAAACGCAAATGAAGAGTAAGATAGGATTAATAAGAAAGAGATAGCTAGATTATCAAAGTAATAGTTACCTAGACCTAAATCTTTTCCGCTGACTGAATAAACATTGGTTTCCAATAAAGCTTCATAGTTGAATCATTGTCTAACGCCATCAATTAAATGAATTACATGACCTAAGATAAATGAAATTCAACCCCGGCGCCCAGCCAAATTGCCGAATAATATTAATTGCCAGGGCAACGATTTATTTATAGTTATGTAACGAGTATTATCTAGAATTTAAACCGATTTTAAGACTAAATTCGAGGATTTTCAAAGGACTATCGATTTTTTGCACAATTTATAAAGAAATTTATTGTAATAATGAGAAAAAATTACTCACCACATGCGTCAAAAACGCACAAATAAATCCTTTTTTCTGGAATCAACGCTGCACGCACTGTTCACACATTTTTCACCGTTCACAACACTAGAGATGCTAAATTCATAAACACACGTTCCTTTTACAAAATCAAACCAATCACGTGGCCTTTCCAGTCGGAGTCGGGATTGGAATTTCGAAATTTGGATTTAAAAAATCCGATTTTCAAACGTCCGGGCTGCGCGAGCGCCGGACTATTTGAATTTAGAACAGTTCGGGAACGCGCATGCGTGCCGGTGCCGCGCTATTTATATTTTCGCTGGGCTATATACTGGCCAGTTTTGTCAGACCTCTCTTTCGCGAGTTATATGATTTTAAGTGGAGTAGTTTTCTACCTAGCCGGAGCTCAAGCAATTATGGGCAGTTGTCTTTATTTTGACTAAGAAACACTTGATCGAACCCGGGAGTTTATGACTTACCTTTAATTTAAAATTAAAGTCTCTTGGCTCTCCTGCTTTTAGCTTAAGGATAAGCATTACTTAAAATTACCAATCAGCATACATTGACTGTTTTATCTAATTATAAAAGAAATTACAAATGAAACTAAAGATTTAAAAACACGTGTACGCCACGTGAAAAGGTCGAGATGACAAATAGACTAAACAAATCATTACGCTAAAACACGGATTTGCTAATGCATATTTTACTAGTTTCAAAAGAATTACAGAGAAGTTATGTGGAATTCATTTATTGAAGGCACTATATTGAAAAGGGAGAACACTGGAATCACTGTTGTGGCTATCGAGCCCACGGCATTCCTGATAGTAAGCAATCGGCGCCACCGCAATACCAGAGGAGTAACGAATGTGTTGCCTGCCTTTTGGGGACTAGGGTTAGGGGATATAGGAATTTGGGGTGAAAGAACTAGAATATTCAATCTTGTAGCCTAATTTTGCATATTAAAGTTGATATCTTTAACCGAATAAACGAAATTTGTGTACAATACGGTAGTTTCCAACTAGTCAAATTCAATACTTTTATCCAAATGTCAAAAACGATTCATTTCTATGAAATTTGTATGAAACACTGAATTATGACGTCATAGTTTCTAGCGTCAAATACTTTACTTATTTCTTAAAAATTTGCTAAAAAAAACTAAATTTCAGTATATCGATCGATGAATAAAAGTATACTTATTTTCCAATAAATTATTGCATTGAAACATCGAATTAATTTATTTTTGACCTAGAAAACCACCCAATTGTAGTTTACATGACAACAAATGCTATGTACACCACATGACTCAACGCCAAATATGTCAAAAGCTTGTATTTCAAAAATTCTATGTTATACTTAAGATTTCACCACTACATAGTAAAAAAACAAAGTAGTTTTTTCTTCAAATCTTCAAAACTACGCAATGGATTTTGATACGATTTTTTTAATAGATGACCATCGATCACTAATAAAGAACTAGATACACAATCAGTGACAAAAAAATGTCCTAACTGAAAGTCCACCAAACTCAACATCGCGGTGTAGTTTTAGTTTAGTACCACTCGAATGCTCCGACGGTAAACACGCCTCAGTGCTCGTTTAAAAACTGCAAAAAACACACATATAAGACGCAAAAAAGGATGGAATTTCATATTTTCGTTAAGTAATAATATTATCATTATATAATTGTCATCATTCTATTTTAAATATTGATATTTTATTAAGAAATCAACTTTAAAACTTTTTCCAAATGAAATCGTATTCAAAAACCGGGGTTATAATGCACACAGTTTATAAAGACACTTATACTAAACGTAAAATCATTCTCTAGCATGACCACTTAAGTTGTTAAGTTGTTCTTTACTGTGTTTATTAAAATATGGAATAGGCAGATATAATGGATTTAATTTTAACTGCAGTAAAGACATTTTTTTTAGCTTTCATCAAAAAACCCGTGCGATATGAAAAATTGACAACAATAACGCCAACATTTTCAGTACTTACTTTAGATATATATTCTTTTTATTATTTTACATCTTTTTTATTTGACTTCGAATTTGGAATATTTTTCAAAGTATATGTATACTTAAGAAGGATTAAGGAGGACGAAAATAAAAAAAAAATTATAACTATATGCATTAGTTTTATTGTTAAATAAATGAACAAACCTATAGAAAAGAATACTATAAGTAATGCGTTTTAATTTTCGTATTTTTTTTTATAAATTATCAAAAAAAAAATTTGAAAGAAATATATTTATTACGAGACATTTCGACTCCAATCATTCTTTGTCCTAGCGGTGAGCCGAAGTCGTTAAATTTTATTGCTCATTTTTGACACATTGTAAATTCGACTTAAAAACATGCGAATATGGTTCAATTTCTTATGATTTATGCAAAAAATGTTTAATTTTGTATATCACTTTGTGAAAACAACTCTATGAGTTGCATTTAAGGTTTAATTTACATTAATGCATGTTTATTTCAAGTATAAGTACCTAAATACAGTTGACGACAGTTTTGAAGCGAACTTTTGTATGGGATTGTGTATCTAGTTCTTTATTAGTGATCGATGTAGATGACGTATAAAGAGGATATTAGGTTTACATAACGTATAATGACATCTATTAAAATTAAACAGTGGAGAAACCGATGCGTATGAGCAGATTAATAAATAAAACGAAAATTGCGATATCAAATAAATATTTAATTATAACAACAGCCGATTATGAAAGACAAGTACAAGTAGGTATCCCATACATAATAATATTATATACAATTTACAAACACAAATTTATTTCTAAAATTTCATTTTATTTTATTGTAATTTAGGCACGGTGTACCTACAAAACTATTTGTTAAATACAAAACATTTAACATTAGTGATGTACATCTAATTGTATCGATTTAAATACTTATCGATAGAAAAAAAGAGTATCGATAAGATTAAGAATGAACTTGGCGAGTTAGAGACAACCATTTTTACTATATTCGATTCTGATTAATTAAGATTAAAATTAGTTATTTAGACTTGACTGTTTCTAGTCTAGTATCATTGATGGGCATGAGGTTTTTTGAGTTGGAATTCAAGTTGAGCCAAATATTACAAATTCAATTCATAGTCGTCCAATAATAAACTACAGCCCCACCTCGGAGCAGTAAAGGGAACGGATTGGTTTGTATTCAAGAAAGAGTCTAACACTCCTTCTCGCCCTTTACAAGAAGTTATTGTTCTAGTGAAAGCAAAATGTATAAATTTCGATGGAACTTTATTATGAGCGTATCGATACTCGATTAAAATCTTAAATTAAATAGAGAAGCGATATGATGGCAGATGTGAAAACATGATCATTTGGACATCTAGAGCATTATCGAAAACAACTAAGATACTTGGAGTCAGCATAATACAACTTTAATGAATTTTTTTATTTTTGAGTGAAATAATTTGTACCTTTATGGTTATTAAAAGAAGAAGAATAAAAGTTGTTTATAAACTTATTTCATACTGAGAGATTGAATGCAGTGTAGGCATAAGAATTCTAAAATAATTTATTTCTCGCTTTCTCTCCGTATTTATAAAGTTCACTGCAGCGATAGAAGTACTTTTAGGTACACAATTATTACGTATCTTCTAGTGCTGCCCATGAACCTCAACTATCGATATGTCACCGTCCCATCACTATTTAAACAAAACAATGAGATTAACAAATAAACATGAAAACATAAAAATCACAAATAATTTATGTATCAATTTAATTTAATATTTATATTTCATCAGTTAACAAATACATGGGATTAAGTATATGAAGTTTATATAAATAATTTCTATTAGAATGAAAATACAAAAACTAATTATTTACAAGGCACGCTATTGGTTGAAATTGTTGCCTTATGAATAACAGAACTATACATTTTTCATTATTTATTGCACTATGTATAGACATTATCGGCCTCATTATAAAGGTACAAGGTATTTTCTTTACTCCAGGTCTAAATCATTGAGCCAAAGCCACAGAACCAGAGAATAAGATTCACAATACAAAACCTGACTCAATGGTTTTAACCTAGACCAAAGATAAATCTTGTTTTGTTATAAGGGGGATTGAGTTTGTATATTAAATATGAAGGCACCGGGGGGTTGGTACAAACATCAACATGCCGATCATCGTCTTCACAGTCCATCGCAGGGCGTAGGATTTTATAATCAGACCGAATAAATTACAAAATTAACGGACGTCGGCGATCCGTCTCCTGTGACAGTCACAGCGCTTGCTCTCCACCATAATGCGCACGCAGAACTGCCAGTTTGACGTTCCGCCAGAGTACGATTTATGGTACCCTCGTCCGATGAATTGTGATAAAACCTCCTTCAAAATTCAATTTAAATAATCGTCGCTTCGACACGGCCGGACTGACATTCGCTCGTCCTCGAGCGATCCTAGTTATGTGGTAGTTCTGGAACAGAAGGAAGATTTCACGTGTATAGCGCGCTGCTCGTTCATCCTGACTAACATGCGCTACCTCAACATCGCCTGGTTACTGCACTCAACATCGATGTAACATTATCATCATTTTCAGTTGTACCTACTTCCAAAACAACTTATCCCAAACCACACTGATACGGCCTCAGCGATTGGTGTGCATGGACCGGATGTATGCGCCTCTACCACCAGCCAACATGCTCCGGCAAGACCACATCATCCCTCCGACCAGCTCACCAGATCACCTGCCTGGGTCAGACTAGTGCATCCCTTCGACTAGACACCACGTGACATAGACCGGACGTCACTATCCTTCCCAATGATCAGTTACGCCAACTCACAATAATATTCACAGACATTCACGTTACCCAAATGAAACTAGGTACAACCATCAACTTTCTAAACTCTAATTTGTAAACTATCTTGCTCATTATAACGACAATCGTTGGTTCAATCATATGAACACGCAGATAATGAGGAAGATGACCCGTTATCACAAAGAAAAGGAACTTTCTCACCCGTAGATGTCTCCAACACGACTTAAGAAGCTCTATGGCCGCAAGCGTTGACTTCTTTAAATGTTGCATAGCTGGTCTTCTTCTCCAAGCAAGCAGTAGAAACGTGGCATGAAAAACAGATGACTGCGTGCCCCTTTTTCATCCGCGTCAGTTACAGGTCATACTTTCGAAATATTAGATGGTTTCCCATCAAATCCCACTTCTGATGAAGGCACCGGGGGGTTGGTACAAACATCAACATGCCGATCATCGTC